TTCACCTTGGCCTGATCGATTTTGGCCAGTTTTGGTAGTTTAACACGCATTCCTGTGGACAAAGCGTTAGGGGGCCTCGGTTAGTCGAAAAATCACAAAAAATCAAACCTACCGGTGGAGGGTCTCCGGGTGCAGCATCTCCGCTAGTTTTCCTTCACAGTTGGAGTTCTTTCTTCGGGTAACCTGCAGAGAAAAAGACGATGAATATAATGATTAGAAAATTGCATGAATTGAAAAATTGAAAGAGACTCATCGGAGGAGTTTTAGGGCTTCGGCTGCGATGGCTCCGCCGGGCTTTACCCGCGATTTTTGGCACAACCATTGTCCCTTTTGCTCCGATATGGCCACAAGGAGACTCAGAATTGATTGAATTTCAAACGGGTATGGAAGAATTTTACCTTTTTTGGCGATCGATGGGGGCTCTAATGCGGTAGCGGCCGGGGGTCAGTCTCATTCTCCGACAGCTGGTCCTTCTTATCTGGCGAGGGTGTGTGCAGCTAAGGTTAAGGTTCCCCTGTGATGCAATATTTTTATACTTATCCCGCGTCGATCTAGATCGTCCATTCGCATCGACATGGAGCGAGGAGAGTCGTCCAATCATTGCTTGTTTAGGCCGATTGCGTGGGCAAATCTGGACCGTTCATCGCAATTCATCTCATCCGTTCGATCGTGCCTAGGGAGAGAATGCATCTAAGTCTGCAACACCTCCCCTATCACTATACTAAAATGATTTGAAAATTCTATTTTTTCGAGTCTTTGGTTGACCTTAAAATTAATTAATTTACGTTGTTTAACATTTCTATGATTCATAATTTTAACTTATTTTTTGTTTTTATTTTTATTTAAATTATTTTATTTTATTTTAAATTAAAAGAAAAATTTAGAAAAAAATTGAAAAAACGGCTAAGTGGGAGAAAAACTACTCGCGAGAAAAATCCCATAAGATGCTAGTTTGCCTGCGCGGGTGCTAGGTACTGTGCGCGCGCGTATGCGCGCTCAGTGGCCGCGAGGCGTGCGCACAACACGCATTTCCCCTTCGCACGCACACACGCACAGGACGTGTGGACAACGAGCATGTCCCCCTTCGCATGCATGATGCAGGGTTAGGACCTGTACGCGAAGGCGGGCTGTCCGCACGTCACTTCGCACACAAACTGGCATCGCATACTATACGTGTGCCGTTCGCGCAATAGACCTGCGCAGACAAGCCTTGTGTGCCTGGGGCCTGTGCACACGGCACCCGGTGCGCCTAGGCCCTACGCACGCGCAATAGCAGGCCTATGCGCCTGTAGGCTAGACTGCAATGCGCCAGCCGGGCATTGCAAGCTCAGGCAGTGCACCGCTGATGGAGGAAGCCTTCTTATGTTAAAGAATCAACAACAACATTTAAATTGGTGAAAATTTGATAATGCCATAATAGGCAAGAAAAAAAATTAATTTGGTTGTTGACAACTTAAAAGCTACAAGACAACATTATAAGTGAAGCTGTCATAAACATTGAAATTTTTGGAAAGAAAAATACACAGGACTTCAAGACTAAATCTTCAAAACAACAAAAAAGCTTCTTAGAGCCCTGGCCTGCAATGCTTTTCTTTTGGCAAAAAAAAATCCCAAATTGATTTGCTCGTTAAAAATAAGTAATTCAAATAAATTCAACGAATTCTAAAATTTAAATACTCGTATGAATTGAACAAAATTAAAATTTGAATACAAAATGAGTATAACAAGGGCGAAATCATACCAGTGAAAGCAGGTAATGATGCATAGATTAGATCTTCACAATCATGAGAAGAATGCTTCCATGTGTTATCTCCTCTTGCAACTCCTCCTTTAGTCACGATATCTGCAAATTGATTTGTTTCTAAAAGAGTATGAAAAAACTAGACTCGATGCAAAGAATTTGAGAAATTGTGGATTTTTTTCTCATTAATTAAACACTGTATATTATTATCATTCAAAGAAAATATTCAAGAAATAACGACTTATCTAGTCACTTTCCACAATTAAGAAAAAATTCACCATAGCTAATAGATAAAAGAATATTAATTCATATCAATATTGACACACCAGAAAGAAGAGAAAACATTTTAGAATAATATCCACTTTAGATGTAGTACTTGTGTTATAGTCTAATTTCGTATCCTCAATTTTTCAATTTCTATTAGAAAATTAAAATAAATGGTAAAATCATGAAAAAATTTATCTCAATTAAAATTTTAAAATCTTTAAATAGGCCAAATTAAATCTTGGGACTAGAAAAAATTAAGGAAATCAAACTTCGTTCTTATTATTTAAGTGCAATATAGTTTGTGCCTGTAATTCTCTTCAAGGTTTATTTCTATACGATTTTCAAGCCCATTCAAACTTAAGCTACATGATGTTGTTGCTCGTAAAGAACAAAAGAAGAAAACCTAACTAAGGGATATATGAACCTTTAGCCTATAAGTTTCGAGATAAAAATTGAATTTTTATTGACTATTCATGTAAAGAGATTGATGATATGGTAAGAGAAGACAAGAAATACAAGGAAATGGTGATATGACCAACGATACACAATGAATTACTAAAACAAAATATAACATTGATGGCATCATTTTGACTTAGTAAGTGAGGCTCTCACGACGAACAACAGCTAGAGAAAGGAAATTTGAATAAACAACTAGAATGGGGGAAATTGAACTATAGAGGGTGCAAACTAAGGTTATGTATGGAAGACAAGACAAGAAAAAAGAGAAACCAAAATCCTTACAAAGAGCAAGAAAACAACAACGAGAGTAGCAAGGAGGAACTTAGCAACAATAACCAATATAGGAAATAACATATA